CAGGTTGCTGTGCAGGAAAATCCCGGCATGAATCTTCTCCTGCTCCATTTCATGAATCATCGATTTCACTGTATGCACAGAAAACTCATCAATAAAGACGGCATCGTCGTGGTGCAGGTAAGGCTCAAGCTCAGGTGTTATTGCATTGCAGAGAAACAGGGGCTTGTCATTAAAATAAATCTTGATATACATAGATAACAGGTGCTAACGCCTTTTTTTTAAGACGAGGAGGGGTAAATGGTTTTCGACACAAGGTACTGACTCCGCTCCACTCACAGCTCAAGCCACATTGCGCACCCCCCAGATCGCCCGACTTATCTAGTGCTACCCGGCTACAGGCCCTAGCAACCACTTGTACCAATACGCCGGCTTTTTGTAACCGGGTTTACAGTGGCACGTCTAACTCTCAGGTTCAGTTGCTGCCATTTATCCATAAAATGAACCATCCCACACAAAACAATGTTCTTTGTATTACACAGTACCTACTTTTGGATTGTAATATTAGAAACAAAGTACTAACCAATATAAAATTACTTTTTATGAAGAAAATGATGAGTTTACTGGTAATCATGAGTTTAGCCTTGATTGGCCAGGCTCAAATTGCCAAAGGAAGGATTACAGGACAAGTAATTGACGGCAGCGAAAAGACCATAGCCGCCGCTACCATCACGCTGTTAAAGGCAAAAGATTCGTCTGTAGCTAAAATGAGCGCCGCCAGTAAAGAGGGTGATTTTGAATTTGACGGTATCGCCGAAGGCAAATATGTGGTGGCGGTTTCTGCCGTAGGCCATAAAAAAGCCTTTTCTGATGCTTTCGAAATCACTGAAGCTAAACCGCTGGTGGCGTTGAAAACCATTGAGCTGGTGCCCACTTCAAAAGACCTTACAGGCGTTACTATTACAGCCCGTAAACCCCTTATTGAACAGCATATAGACAGAACCGTGGTAAATGTAGAGGCGGCGGTATCCAATGTGGGTGCTACAGCGCTGGAAGTATTGGAAAAATCACCCGGCATTACCGTAGACAAAGATGGTTCCATCAGCCTGAAAGGAAAGCAGGGTGTGCAGGTATATATAGACGGAAAACCTTCTTACCTCAGTGGCGCGGACCTGGTAAACCTGTTAAAGAATATGAATGCCAACCAGCTGGAGCAGATTGAAATCATGACTAATCCGCCTGCTAAATACGATGCCGCCGGTAATTCAGGTATAATCAATCTTAAAACCAAAAAGAACAAAGCCAAAGGATTTAACGGCAGCGTTACTGCTGGCTATTCACAGGGTGTTTACTGGAGAACCAATGAGAGCCTTAACCTGAACTACCGCAATGGTAAGTACAATGCTTTCATGAACTACAGTTTCAACAAGAACAATAGTTTCCAGGAACTATCTATTCATCGTACCTATAAAGATACAGACGGAAAAACGGTAAAAGCCATGTTTGACCAGGTGGCTTTTATGCCCCGCAATAACATTAACAACAGCCTGAAATTTGGTATGGACTTCTTTGTAGACAAGAAGACTACGCTTGGCTTTGTAGCCAGTGGTTTTTTGAATCCTGAAAATGAATATAACTATAATACCTCTTACCTGAAGGATGCGAATGGGTTGGTGGATTCTATTGTTAAGTCAACCAGCACCAACCACAACAAATGGAAGAACGGGTCTGTTAACCTGAATTTCCGCCGCCAGTTTGATTCTACCGGCCGCGAGTTAACGGCAGATATTGACTATTCAAAATATTCCTCTAACAATAATCAATACTTTGTAAACGCCTCTTATGAGCCGGACTGGCTAAAAAAAGGGCAAACTGATTTGAAAAGTATTTTGCCTGTGGATATTAATATCTACTCAGCAAAACTGGATTATACCCATCCTTTGAAAAAGGAAGCCAAACTGGAAGCGGGTTTGAAAAGCAGCTATGTAAACACAGACAATGCAGCCAATTATTTTAATGTGCTGGGCGGTACAGATGTGGTGGACTACGACAAGACAAACCGTTTCCAGTACAGGGAAAATGTAAATGCAGCCTATATTAATTACAACCGCCAGTTTAAGAAAATAGGTGTGCAGGCCGGGTTGCGTTTTGAGAACACCAATTACAAAGGTCATCAGCTGGGTAATGAGCAGCGTCCGGGATCCGATTCTTCTTTCAGTAAAAGTTATAACAACCTTTTTCCCACGGTATTTATCAGCTATAACGCCGGTAAAAACAGCCAGTTTGGTTTATCAATTGGCAGAAGAATAGACAGACCAGCCTACCAGGATCTCAATCCATTCCTGTTTTTCCTCGACAATTATACTTACCAGGCAGGAAATCCTTATCTGAAACCGCAGTATACCAATAATATAGAGGTGAGTCATACTTTTAAAGGATTTCTTAACACAACGGTGAACTATAGCCGTACAAAGAATTTCTTTACTGAAACATTTGAGCAGAAGGACTATGCTACCATCGTGCGCCAGGGAAATATTGGTCAGCGCCAGAATGCAGGTATCAGCATGAGTGCACAGGTAAAAATCAGCAAATGGTGGAGCACCAACCTGTACGGCAACTACAACTATAATTTCTTCAGGGGAGAACTGTACGGCGAAATGCTGAAAGTAAGCGGGTCAAACGTGCTGTTTAATGTAAACAACCAGTTCAGTTTTGGCAAGGGCTGGAGTGCAGAACTCAGCGGCTGGTACAGAACCAAAGGTATAGAAGGCCAGATTTTGATTATGCCCATGGGCCAGGCTTCTGCAGGTGTTTCCAAACAGGTGCTGAAAGGAAAGGGCAGTGTTCGGGCAAACATCAGGGATATATTCTATACCAATGCTGCAAAAGGAACCATTAATTTCCAGTCAACAGAAGCAAGCTTTAGAAACACCCGCGATTCCAGGGTGGCCGGTATCTCCTTCACTTACCGCTTTGGTAAGCCCCTGAAAGGTCCGCAGAACAACCGGAAAAAAGGCGGCGCGGATGATGAACAGAACAGGGTAAAAGCGGGTGGAAATAATTAAGCGTTAGATTTTTAGTATTCAGTATACAGTACTCAGTAATCAGCCGTTGCGGCAGCACACCGCAACTGGCTGATACCGGGTACTTTTTTTTTAGAATACATTAGTTGAATACAGGACACCGGTGTTGAACAGGCGGCAGGTCTCAACCAAATACAAAAATCTCCATACTGCCTTTTCATGATAACAATACGGCGCTTTTCGTACTTAAAAATCACCGCCTGTGTATTGGCAATGTCATAGCACCCTTCGTCCATATTTACATTTTTTGCCCCGGCATACTGCGCCAATTTTACCAGGTATTATTTAAACTGATCCTCCATTACTAAAACCGCTGCAATGAAAAAAATCACTATTCTTATAAGCATATGTTTACTGTCGCTCAGTATGTTTGCGCAGGATAAAACAGGCATAATCTCCGGTAGTATTACAGATGCTTCGCAAAAACCCGTAGAAGCTGCTACCGTTCAGTTGTTGAAATCAGATGGCAGGACCCTGGTAAAATCTGCCGTCACGAATAAGCAGGGTTTTTTTGAATTAGAGAAACTTGCAGCCGGGAAATACTTTATCAATGTTAGTGCGGTGGCATTTGCTGCAAAGAATGATATTGTCATTGAACTGGCTGACGGTAAAATGGCGGTACAGTTGCAGGCCATTCAGCTTGCTGCCCAAACCAAAGAACTGGGTGGGGTCACGGTTACTGCACGGAAGCCGCTGATTGAACAGAAAATAGACCGTACTGTTATCCACGTAGAAGCCGCACCCACCAATGCTGGTGCTACGGCGATGGAGGTGCTGGAAAAATCTCCGGGCATCAGTGTAAACAACGATGGCGTTATCAGTCTGAAGGGCAAACAGGGCGTTATAGTAATGATGGACGGAAAACCTACCTATCTCTCGGCAGCAGACCTCGCCAACCTCCTGAAGAACATGCCGGCTTCTTCGCTTGACCAGATTGAAATCATGACGAATCCCCCTGCAAAATATGACGCTTCGGGTAATTCCGGTATCATTAATATAAAAACAAAGAAAAGCCGTAGCGATGGACTGAATGGCAGTGTTACAGCCGGCGGTACTATTGGGTTGTACAAAAGAGGAGGCGAATGGCTTACGCCGCTGAAACAGACTTCCAGCCTGAACCTCAATTACCGGAAAGGGAAAATCAACCTCTTTGGTAATTACAATTTTAACTACCGCGAAGGCAAAGCCGACCTGGAGATTAACAGGAATTTTTTTAATAAAGATGGCTCCCTCAACTCTTATTCCAGTTCTGTAACGCAGATGAACATGCGCAATAACAACCATACCCTGAAACTGGGTATGGATTACTATGCCGGCAAAAAAAATGTATTCGGTGTAGTGCTTAACGGTTTCAGTTTCTTTGGCAGACCCAGGCCGTTCAGCACCCAAACCATCTCTTCGCCCGATGGTGCCGTGCAGTCGGTACTGGCTTCGTCTACCACCAACAAACTTACTTTCTGGAACTATTCGGGCAATGTGAATTACAAGCATGTGTTTGATACCAGCGGTACAGAACTGACCGCTGACCTGGACTATGTTGGTTACAGTAATGGTTCGCAATCATTACT